TAAAAATAGATGAAACAAATATTGGGGTTGTGTAAATTAATTTGTAATATTGATTAGTAATGTGGATTTGCAGATCTCAGACGTCCTAGAGAGGCAGGAGTTCCCAAAAAATAAAAAAAAAATTTGTAGAAAAAATATAGAGTTTTTGTAACAGAGTTTAAAAATATTTGGATTGTAGTTTTGTTAATTTTAGTCCATTTGTAATATATTATATATCAAAATAAAGCTGTTGATGAGTTGAATCTTTTTGTATTAATGAACATTGGATATTGACTTAATAGAAGTTTGAGTTTTGGCCAGTTGAAGTAAAATTTAGAAAATTAGTTATATTTTGTAAAGAAGAGCTTTAAAAGTTTAAAACAGGGCCACCTATAAGTAAAATTTACTATAGGACAGTTTTACTTAGGTGGCCAAAGTAGGTTTACTTAGTAAAATTTAGAGAATAAAGTGATTATTTTTAGAAAAAAGTTGGTACAAGTGATCGTCAGGAAGAGTTAGTGTATACAAATTAGTACACTTTTTACAGAATTCTATTTAAAGCAATATTTGCTTTAATATTTAATTATTAGTTCATTTAATGTAACAGAGCTCAGACTAAGGCTACACAAGGGTACACAAGCACAGGTAGTGCCCCAGGACATTCTAGATCGATGTATTAATAATTATTTTGCTTTATTTTTAATTTTAGACATTATTGTATAATGATTTATATTAGTATTACATAGTATTATTTCATAGCATTATCATAGTAATACATAGTATTATTATTGTAGAATAGCACTATTTTAACTATTTTTAGCATTATTATTGTATAATAACGATTTAAATAGTAGTACATAGCATTATTATAGTGATTTACATTATTGTACAATAGTTTGTAGCATTATAGCTTTATTTTATAGCATTATTTTATAATGTTATCTTATAGCATTATAGTAAATAGCATTATTATATAGTGTTATTGAAAGATATTTAAACCCTGCCTTTTTCCCCAAGGCAAGAGGACATTAATATATGCTCTACATCTGTTCTTTTGATATTTACAATGTTTCTTGGGTATATTTGTCCCTTTCTTTGATTATTTTCTCTGATAATAAAGTCTTATTTTGTTGTAATAAACTGTAATTTTATAATGTATTTATAGTGAGTTTATTGTATTTTTATTGAATTTTTATAGTAAATTTATTGTTTTTCTTTTGATATTTTTGATTTATACTTGAGTAAATTTATTTGTTTTTGATTTTTATTTAGTTATTTCATAGTATTTTTGTTTAGTTTTTAGGCTTTTATTCTATTTTTATGGTTGTATTAGCAATAAGTTGACAATATTTTATTTTATTTATAAGCTGTTTCCTGTTATAAAATTATATAAACACATTTCTTAACCACTCTTATACGTTAAATCAAGTAGTATAACTTGTTAACCAAGGGTCAACTTGTTATATTACAATATAATATCCTTTTGACACACCATTAATCATATAAATTAAATGTTTGCATATTAAAAATTGACTATGGAGAAAAAATGGACAACTGCAAATCTATTTATCTGAATCAATAAAATACTTTACTTTTGCATTTTCATTAATTTGTTTTATACAACATAATTTTTATTCTCGCTTAAACGTTTCCCACCAGTGAGGCTTTAATCACCCTGTATATAGTTGATAAAATCAGATACTTTGATCAGGAAGTATTTTCTCACAAAGAACATAAATGACATAGTCAAGACGTGGATGGTTACACTGATATAAATAGTCATGCTTGATGACCTTCCAATGTGCTTCAATTAATATATTTGTTTTTTCAAATAGAATAGTATGTCAATTACTACGTGCTCACAAACTTCAACAGTTTTTTGAATACCAAGATGAATAAAGGTAATTCCAAAGCCATAGATTTTGGTATTCTACACAAAATTGGTAAGTTTCTTGTACAGCTTTTTTCCGGATTTCTTTAGGGTTTAAAAAAGAACTATCTTTGTTAATGAGAAGAAGAGGGTGCATATTAAAGTGTTTTTTATTAAAGAAAGAACTTTCTTTTGATATCGTGCTATACAAATAATGCCAGTTTATTTTTGAAATAAATTTTGGATCAATAAATAGAAATAATTTAAATCAATTTCCTTAAATTAATAATATCGTTCTAGTTTTTAACTAGATTGCATTTTGGTTAAAATAGTCTTTTTCATATGCCACAAACATAATTGAACATCAGATTTGGGCCAAACCTTTTGAGCTGTATTTATTTCGGCAAAATCTTTGTTAGTAAAAATATATTCAAGAAATAGGCCAAGATCTTTAAATTGAGATAAAAATTCTACTAGAATTGATATCCTTATCAATTCAATTTCGCCTCATTTAATATCTAAAATAAGATACCCTAATGTAAAGCCTGTTCTATCCTTTTCAGCAAGTAAACCATAAAGTTCAAAAGAACCTTTTGCTGTTTTGTATGTAGTGTCTAAATAAACCTCCTTTGTACTTTTTAATTCATCAAAAAGTGGTATAGAAAAAGCAATCACCATGAAAGTATCTGATGTTTTTGCAATTAGTAATTTATAATTCTTTAATTGATACTTATTTTCAATAAGAATTATAGCTGATTTTACTGAATCTTCATTCTGTTGATATAACGATTGAGTAAAAAAACTCTACCAGTAATAAATCTGTTTTCCAGTTATGTCTTTTATATCAAACTTTGTAGAAAGATGAGTTCGTAATTGTAATAGATTAAGATTTTTATTTTGCTAAATTTCAGTTTTAATTTCATCAGGAACTTTTGTTTGAATCGAAGGACATTCATGAAATATTTCATGTTAGATTTTTATATTTGCATATGATTTTAAAAGATTAGTTCGTATAACAAGATGTCTACTACAATTATATCAAACCATCTTTTTTTGGTTTGAAGGCTTGTAATCACTTAAACTTTCAGATTGACTGCATGTATAATATGTTGTACCAACTTGTTCAGGCATATTCTTTGAATGATTGGTTTTAATAAAACTAAAAAAAAAATTTAATATATTAATATTAATAATACTGTAATATATATAATACTAATATAGCAACTTTGTACTACATAAATAAATATGCAATTTGCAAATTTTAACATTATCAATTATACATACATATGTATATATGTACATATGTACATATCTCCATTTATATCTACTTTTATTTTCAATTTGTTCATGAATAGAATTTGTAATTTTATTTAACGGTTGATTTAATATCTCAAATTGAACAATTATTTCAAACTCTTCTGTATTTTCAGTCTTTGTAATTTCCTCAATTATTTGTGAAAGATCACTTATATATACTTCGAAAATAGCATTACTATCATCTATAATATTATTATCAGCATTGCTTTGGTTAACAAACAAGTTTGTTAAATCATTAGTAAACGAATCAATTAAATTATTGACTTTATACGTAATTTCAATTAATGGTTTTTTGATATTGAAATTTTTTATGATTTGATATTTGGGCTACCGTTTATTTAAACAAAAATTACATGTTTTGGCAAATTTCCTTTGATTATTTTAAATTCATTTTCTGAATGTGTTGTTTTACAACTTGAGCAAAATAAAGATATCATTGATATTATTAATGGTATGCACAAAAAAGAAAATCATTTTTTATTACTTTACGCATATTTAATATTTAATATATAAATAATCTGCATCCAATCAAATTTTGTATAATCTGGAGAATTTTGGAGGGTCGCTGTATTAGTTTCTGCTATGGAAAGAAGATCAGTTTTCAATAAAATATTTTATTAGATATTTTTTAAAACTATCTATAAAATCCATATTCTAACAATGTGGTTATTCTAAAAATATAACAATAAATGGTTCTCGCTTAACCAACAAATAGACTAGAGATCTATATAGCTCTATTTTAATTATAACCAAAAAGTTATATACAACCTTATTATCTTTAAACTTAATCAACTCAAATCCTTTAAAATTAAAATACTACTTAATGAACTTCCTATATACTTACTTTATAACTCTATATATTCTAAAATATTTTATAATGAGAATTGTTTTCACAGCAGTTCTTGAGACTCTCCATATCTGTATTAACCTTACTTTACTTCATCAAATAATCTTATCTACTATTACAGATCAACTTCACTTAGCAGAACTTGATATAACCAATAATGAATTAGAGGAGAGCCCGAAAACATGTGTTTTTTTGGGTCTTTTTAAAAAACACATTTATACAGTCAAACCTCTCTAAGTGCACTCTCTATAAATACATATCTTTTTTAAATACACAACCTGGCCTGGTCTCGAGCATATGACTTAGTGCTAAGTACATACCTCTACCCTTGCACATGCATAAATTTTCAAGAATCCAAATCTATATATGCACTTCTGTAAGTATATACACATGATTATTATAAAAATTTGATCAATAAAAATACAGAATTTATCGAATCGACTATTGTAAGTAGATTTTCTTTGACAGATTTGTTTGTTTTATTCTTATTTTTATTCTGGAAAGAAAATTTTCTCAAGTATTTCTGCCATTAGATATTTCATCTTAAATTAATGCACTAACTTTGGCCCTTAGGCCAAAGTTGGTGCATTAAATCTAAAGCTTTTATTTATTATATGAAATGACCTGCCAAATAAAACTATCATTTGGTATTACACATCCAATAATTATAAATCCTGATTCAGATCTTATTTCTATCCAATTACTATTAGTAAATGAACTTAGTGCACGTTTTCAGAATGTGGCGATATCATTATACCAATAGAATAACAATAAATCACATAAATTTTGTATTGATCAGAGTGTTGAGGAGCTAAGTTCATGATTCTTTCGCCTTAGTTCTTTTGCTATGATCTTTGATGATCAGCAATTATCAATTCATCATACTGGCAAAAAATCAGAAAAAAAAAGTAAAAAATTAAAAAAAAACTTAAAATAGAAGCATAATATTAGACAGGATTGATATATAAGTACTAAAAGGATATCTTTTTATTAGAATTTAAGTTATTTTAAATAATCTGATTTTTTTTTCTCAAAAAGCATCGGTATGACTGATCATGTAGTTGGATAAATACTGGCTAGCCAAAGGTACCAGGAATAAATTCAATTAAAGGACATGAAGTCTGCAGAATACATTATGAGTAATTTTAGCTAGATAATTTTAGTAACTAAGCAAATCAAACTAAAACAATGATATGTACTCATAAAATTAGCAAGTGAGATTGTGCCAGATATCATCATAATAGTAGAATAAGAGAGAAGTAAAATAAACGAGAAGTAGCATCACTAGTAGTTTCTCACCTGCTCGAAGCAGACCAGCTGTTAAATAGAAAAATGGTAGAATCAGGAGACTACAGTATGCGGAGAGAGAGGTGGGTTGAGAAATTTGTTTGCCAAAGACTATTGTGTCGAAGTAGAAAAGAGTATTGAAATTGATTTTTCTTTGTCAGCTATTTATATATCGATCATGGTAGATGGCTTATTTAATTATATATTTCTGGTTGCATTCTGATTCATACAATTTAATTAATTAATTATTAATTGATTCATTCTTTTGATCCTGATTCCTGCCATTTGCCCATGATTTGAGAGCACAGGTTGTAGTACGTGGCATGTAACTTCTGACTAGTTCTTTTCTTTTTTTTCAATCTGTTGACTCTTGTTAACATGCACAATATAATAATATAGATGTAATATATATTGGGTCTATATATACATCTATAAATATTTGAATACTCTATTTGAGATGTTATTGTACATACTTAGTATTATTAATCATGCATATATAATATTTGTTCTGATTGGTTAATCAAATTACTTATATATTTTCTATAAATGCACACTCTCTCCAAATGTACATCTATCCTCGGTCCTAAGAGCATGTACTTAGAGAGGTTTGACTATATATAGAAAAACAGAAAAGATAAAAAATCTAGAAGAGAGAAGGTAATTTTGTTAAAATAAAAAATATATGTTTTTTTGGCTCTCCCCTTAGAGGAATTAATCTAAAAAATCTATAAACATGAAGCATTCTATAATATAGCTTTTTATACCTATTTATGCTATATAGAGCTTACTCTTAGAGATTTAATCTTTCAATCTTTAATACAAATGCTCCAAAACTATAATATTTCTTATAAAATTGTATCAAATACTATAATTAATTTACTACTTAAAATTAACAAACAAATATATAAACTATTATAAAAAGAGTGTTGTTAAATATCACAGGTTGCTATATTGCAGTTTAATATGATTGACCAATTAGATCACAGGATTTTGTATAACAAAAATGAATTATAAGTTAGAAAAAATTTAAAGAAAAAGTCAAAGTTTTAAATATCTTAAAATTTTATTATATAAACTAGTCTTGGGCTTCTAATTAAAAGTTTTCAACACTTAATTTTGCATATATTAATATCTTCTAATACTAGCTTGAACCCTAACTCTAATAATAATTTTAATTTTTTTTAAACATATATTAATCTGTGATATCACAACCTGCTAAATTTAACAAATTTCTATAAAAATCCTACTGTTCAAACTTTACCAATTAGAAAAAAACAACTAGAGTTCCTCAAAATC